CCGGGGCTGGTGGCCCCTGGGAGGTGCGCAGGGCTGGACCTTTTGGGGGTTTCAGTCCCCTTTGAAGATCTGACTCAAGGCGTATGCAGAAGAGATGCGGATGTTTAATAATAATGTTTAAAAACGGCATCGTTTCTTGTGATGTTAGGTAGGACGCGCATTTACTTTCTTGTTCTATCCGACATCGAGCTAAATGTACTGCGCACCTTAGACATCCGATGAGGCCGATTTTATTCTCTCTCCCTCTCTTTACTAGTAAATTCACAGCTGGGGAAACTGAAACTTTTGAGGTGGTGACTCACCTTCTAGATCAGCCTTTTCCTCTTACACCTGATGGAGGCGGCCAACGGGCCCCTCCCTCCTCCAGCCCCAAACCGCCACCGAATGGCCCTCCCTGGCCCCCTCCCACGTGCCCGCTTCTCCAGGCTTTTCCAGAGTTCGCTTCCAGAGCCCTGTCTCCCAAGGGGGAGCCTCTGGGGCTCAGGGAACCTTCCCCGGGACTTCGGAAATGCCTTGGCGCCTGAAGCCTCGCGGAGACGCCTGACTTTCTCGGATGGAAAAGCCGGCTGCTTGCTTTCAGCACGTTTAGAGGAGAGAACACTTACCTGTGTGGTTCCTCTCCGCAGCAGGTGTCGGAGCAGGTTTGCTTTCCTGCTCTGCCCTTTCTAAACCATCTGTCTGGCTCCGGGCAGCGGATCCGCCCTTCCCAGTCCTCGGGGCGAGAGGTTGGCCTGGCGGAGCCCTGAGGTTCCTTAGGAAAGCCTGCGGCCTGCGCCACCACCTCTCCTTCCCGCCACCACCTCTCCTTCCCGCCACCACCTCTCCTTCCCACCCCCACCTCCCTGCTGCAGACAAGCCCTCATTCTGGGCGGGTGCCCCCTGCCCCCTGATCACTGCCTCACTCCTGTCCCCCTCTTCTCGTCCCAGCCCTCACAAAAGCCCCTCTCCTGCCCTGGGACCTCCTAGGGCAGCGGTTCTCAACCTGTGGGTCGCGGCCCCTTTGGGGGTTCGAACGACCCTTTCACAGGGGTCGCCTAAGACCATCGGAAAACACATATATAATTACGTATTGTTTTTGTGTTGAATCACTATGCTTTCATTACGTTCAATTTGTAACAATGAGATTGGGGGTCACCACAACATGAGGAACTGTATTAAAGGGTCGCGGCATTAGGAAGGTTGAGAACCACTGTCCTAGGGCCTCCGTTGCCTGTCTCCCTCCCTCTGAACCCCTCTGAGTTACACACTTCAGTCGCCTACCTGCCCAGTTCTGTGCCTCAGCCGCCCTCCGGGGACACCTGCCCTGGGGTCTGACGGGGGCTCCCCCGCTTGGCGCACTGCCCGCCCCAGCTCCGCCTGACTCTGGGCTCACCCTGAGCGCGGAAAGTGCTTCTTGGGCACAACAGAAAAAAAAGGCTGCCCTTCTCACCAGACCCCCCCCCCCCCCCCCCCCCCCCCGGGGGGGGGAGGAGAGGGTGTGTCTCCCGGTGTCTGGGAAGCATGTGTCACCTGCCCGCTTATCTCTGAAATGTGTTACTCACAGTCCCACCCTCCCCTTTGCCAGAAATCCTTTTCTTGTTTGTTTCCCCTCGAGGCTCACGGGAGCTGAGTACCACCTGCAAGGGCTTTTGGTTTTTGCTAACTCGCCTTGCAGTTTGTTTTACATTCTTTTGAGGGAGGGAAAACCATTGACTTGATTTTTGAAGTTAAGAACAGGAAAGCAGAGGTCAACATCTACCGTGTGTCACCTGAGGAGGGGATGCGGGGGGAGGAGAGCTGGAGGAAAGGGGTGAAAGGCTGGCTGGTGAGCGTGGTCACGGGAGCTGCGGGCCACCGTTCCGGGCGCATCCAGCGGCTCAGCACTTGGCTTTCGGGCTTTTCAAATGCCGATCCCCCGTCCGTCTGTCCGCACAGGCCAGAGGGGCAGATGGAGATGGAGTTAGTTAGGGCCCCAGGACTAGCAAGGTGCGGAGAGGGTGGCCCGCGGTGCCCTGGGCGGTCACCGGGGCGCAGGCGCGTCGGCCCCTCTGTCAGAGGGAAGCT